GTAAGCTTGAGAAAGAAGGTACTGGCTTGACCTTCTGTGTGTGTGTGTGTGTGTGTGTGTGTGTGTGTGTGTGAGAGAGAGAGAGAGAGAGAGAGAGAGAGAGAGAGTGAGTGAGTTAGTTCTAAGTCTGATGTGGATAGAACAGCTTGGGACAGAGAAAAGGATGTGTGGCTGTGACGGGCCTAGAGGTTGGAAATGGCTTGGGTGGAATGAAGTCAGATCGATAAAATATACTGTGCTGGCATATAGGATGCTCTTCCTGGCCCAACCCTGGAGTGGGTGTAGATCTAGCTGGGTGGAAAGGTTGGATATGGCATGGGAGTGGCCTTTACGTTGGGAGGTAGGCAAGGTCCGTCCTGGTGGAAACCTAGAGATCGAATGTGGTGCAGGCTGGGGTGGCCAGGCTAGGCTGGAGCACTGGATGTGAGACCTGAGCTAGGTCTGGTGGGTTGAGAAAGGTACGTGAATGAGGGAGAGGCTCACCAGGCTAGACCCTGGAGAAAGATATGGGAGATCTGGCTAGGTGAAGAGGCCCCTATGTTGATTTTTGATCTTTCAAATATTAGCTGGCTTTGAAAAGTTTTAAGATCTTCTGTTCACAGGTTCTGAAATTTTAATTGTCTCTCTTGACCTGGGAATGTTTTCATGCATTGTATTGGGTACTTAATGGGCCCCTTCTGATCTGAAAATTCATGATTTTCAATCCTGTAAAGTTTTTCTAAAAACTTTGAATCATTTTCTTCCTCATATTATTCCTGTTCTTTTTTTCATATATTTATTAATTAACTTCTTAGAGAGGTTTTTATCATTTCTGTTCTCTTTTCCATATTTCTGATCTGTTCTGAGTACAATTAGCTCAACTTTTTGTCCTTCCCTTAATGGATTTTTTTTTCATTTTTGCTATTGTTTTAATTTTCATTTCCCAAATTCCATCTGTTCTTGTTTCATACATGTAATATAATGTGTTATGATTCTAAAAACATTAGAGACAGGGCTTTGTATCTTCATGTTTACACTTTGTTCTCCCTAATGGTTTCCATTTCCAGGTCACCTTTTCCTTTTAGTAAAGGTTCCACTTCTCATTTTAGAGGTCCTCCTGCAGTACAGGGTGGAACTTGTGGCCTTGGGCCTGTGAGATGTAGGCTGATTCTTCAGAGGTACTCTACTGTCTCCCGTTGTACTGTTCTCTTTCTGGAAGGGGAAAGAACTTCTCGTGTATCCCTGATCTGTCTCTCTAAGGAATGAACACAGGCCTTCAGATGTCTGTGCCCAGGCTTCCTCCCTCATTCACTCTCCAGTCTTCTGTCCTCCTGAAAGGGGCAGACAGCATGCTGTGTGCAGAAAAGAACATCTAGGGAGCTCACTACATCTCACAGACTGTCTCTTCAGTCTTCTTTGTTTTTATTCCCTTGGGCTCCACACCAGTTCCAGAAGTAAGCAGGGCAGCAAATTCCTGAGACTTCAGAGGATTCTCTTAAAGCAGATCTGACTGGTTCGTTGATTCCCCATTGTATTCTTGGAGTTTGCTGACCCTGTGTTTTCTTTTTCCTTTTTAAAAAATTTTTATTTATTCTCTCATATATTACATCCCAAACAGTTTCCCCTCCCTCCACTCCTCCCAGCCCTTCTCACCTCCCCTCTCCCCCAGATCCACTCCATTGCCCTTTAGAAAAAGGCAGGCCTCCCAGGGATATCAACTGAATATGGCATAACAAGTTGCAGTAAGACTAGGCACATATCCTCATATCAAGGCTGGATGAGGCAACCCAGTAGGAGGAAAAGGGTCCCAAGAACAGGGAAAAGTGTCAGAGATAGCCCCTGCTGCCACTGTTAGGAGTCTCACAAGAACACCAAGCTACCACCACCCTAACATATATGGAGGTCCTGTGTTTTCTAAATCACTTATCTTTCAACCTTTGTTTTTCCTATTCCTAAAAAATGCTTCTGTTTTCTTCTTTCCTGTTTTTAACCTTTTTGTTTGGTTTTAGTTAGGTGCTTTTGTTTTGTTTAGTGTTTTTTTAAATTTATTTATTTTTTAAATTACACTCATGATATTAATCACATTTGTGGTATTCATAGATTATATTCGCAGTATTCATTCAAATATATATATTTAATTTTAAATGTCGAATGTCATTTCTTGAAGGGTGTAGGAGGTCTTAATTATAGGCTTACAGCACAATGGGAGGACCCCGGAGGGCAGAAGTTCGCTACTGATGTTTTACAACCTTGCATCTAAGCTGTTAACGCCCATTATTCAGGATACACAGACAAGGAACTTCCCTTAAGCATTCAGGAAGGGTGGAACCTGGCAGGGAATTAGCATTGGGAGGATATCAAGGTCAAGGTCCGCAAGCAAGGCAACAGTTACCCAAAACGGGGGCCAGGGCCCTACAGGTCCCCCTTTTATTAAAAAATGAGCTTCTGACTTAGGTTGCATGGGACGTCAGCAGGTCACCTTACCCGTCATGGAGACACCTGCCCAGGCCACACAGGTGCTCTGTCTTAGGTTGGTGAGTGCCCCCCAGGTATTACCCGTCTCTGAATACTCATTATCATACAGGCTCAATCGTGTGTGAGCTGCAGAGTTAACTGCTGCCAAAGATCTCAAAGTGGCACTGGACTTGCAATCTGTGTGTTCGATACAGAAAAGACCAACAGAGGTCCTATCTCACCCATAGCCAGTAGGCTAAAGGCAACTGAGCCATTCCCTTCCTTATCGAGCCATACTGTGTGTTGGAGTCCTTGTAAGATAGTATCCCAAAAGCAACTGGAACTTGAGTTTATAAATTTATAATTTTCAAAGCCAATCGAGATGTATATAACTACTGAATTAAATTTATCATGCCCAATAGAATGAAAGATTAACTAACTGTAGTAGCTACTTTTGTTACCAGGGTCGGTTGTTTTGTTTTTTTTGGTGACAGTGTCTTGTTGTATCGTACAGGCTGGCCATGAACTCAGCTATATAGTCCAAACTGACTTTAAACTTGTAGTCCTCCTGCAGAATGCTGGGATTACAGATGTGAACCACTTTAGCTTGCTTTATGAATCCCTTGTAAATATGCATTAGTGAGGGAGCTAGAAAGATGGCTCAGTGGGTAAAGGGCTTGCAGAACAAGCATGAGGATCTGAGTTCATGTGCCCAGCACCCATGTGAAATCCAGGCATAGAAATGCGCATCTATAACTCCAGCACTTCAGCTGTGGTGGTGGGAATGGGGAGTGGGGGGTGGGCGGCAAATCGCTAGGGCTGAATGAGTTAACTACAGGTTCAGTGAAGAGACCCTATCTCAAAAAATAATGTGGAAAGAAATTGAGGAAGACACTTAACTGTAGACAAATTTCTAAATGGTCTTATTAAATAAAAAAACACAGAGCCAGTATAGGAGTGAAAGCCTTAGAGAGATCAAGGAAATAGGGAAAGCCACCAGCCAAACTTACCTCACTGCTGTGGATGATTGATTGATAAATAAAGTGCTGATTGGCCAGTAGCCAGGCAGGAAGTATAGGTGGGACCAGGAAAGTGGAGAGTTCTGGGAAGTGGAAGGCTGAGGTAGAGAGACGCTGCCAGCCACCATAATGAGAAGCAGATGTTAAGATACCAGTAAGCCATGAGCCACGTGGCAACTTATTGATTAATAGAAATGGGTTAATTTAAGATAAAAGAACAGTTAGCAAGAAGCCTGCCATGGCCATACAGTTTATAAGTAATATAAGTCTCTGTGTGTTTACTTGGTTGGGTCTGAGCGGCTGCAGGACTGGCGAATGAGAGAGATTTGTCCTGACTGTGGGCCAGGCAGGACCAGGAAAACTCTAGCAACACCTCACCAACTCTGCAGCTTCCAAATGCGAGTTACATCCTGTCTACTCACATTTATATGCCTTTTGTGTTCTGTTCTGTCATTGGGTCTCTTAGCCCAGCCACATCACTTCCTCTTCCTTTACAGCTCTGTCACTTTCTATCTGTCTGTACAGACCACCAGACCTCTATGGTTGGTACTGGGACAAGGCCTGTGTCACCACCCTTGGCTCTGTTCCCTAGAGTGGCCTTGAACACACAGAGATCCTTCCTGCTAAGTGATAAGATTAAGTCTGTGCTACTACTACCTGACTTCTTTGTTTATTTAAAATGGCTTGCTGTTCCCTCTGATCTCCAGGCAATCTTTATTAATTAAAGCACAAATAAAATGTCACCACATTTCAGCACAAATAAAATATTATCACACTTAACACAAAGCCCTGGCTTTCCCATGTATATGTGCACACATAAAATAGACATGAGCTACTTGTTAGTTTTTTGAGTTGTGATATAGCCTGGAAGACAGAGACATCTTACTGAATGACTACAAATAATAAAAGCATCCAGAGATGATAAAAAGTAAAATTGAGAACAGCCAGCAATGCTAGAGTGAAACTGAGCAGGAAACCCAGACACCTTGATCATAAAACCCTGTGACCTTGGGCAAATGTTCCACCTTCTCTAGATCCCAGTTTTCTCATCTGGAAAATAAAAGAGAGGAGTGAGGAGCTGGAGAGATAGCTCAGAGGTTAAGAGCACGGGCTGCTCTTCCAGAGGTCCTGAGTTCAATTCCCAACAACCTCATGGTGGCTCATAACCAGCTCTTCTGGCATAAAGTCATAGGTCCTGAGTTCAATTCCCAACAACCACATGGTGGCTCACAACTATCTATAATGAGATCTGACACCCTCTTCTGGCATAAATTTGTACATGCAGATAGAGCACTCATACATAAAAAATGAATGAATGAATGAATGAATGAATGAATAAATAAATAAATAAATAAATAAATAAATAAATAAATAAGTGAAAGCCAGATATAGTGACAGAAGCCTTTAAAAAGAGAGAGAGAGAGAGGAGTGGAGTCAAGCATCACCTCTTTTACATCTGTTTGCAGTCCTGAAATGCCCTGTACCTACCAAAAGGGCTTTGTCATTGTTCTGCCTCACAAGAGCCTTCTTCATTATTTTCTTTTCCAGTTTTTCCAATGGTTTTGCCAACTAAAGTTCTGAGTGGACACCGGAAGTCACTGAATCTTGTTGACTCCCCTCAGCCACTCCTAAAGAAGGTAAAGTGTTTTGAATTGTTTTGTTTGAATGTAAGATTTGATAATACTGGCTTAGTCTCAAGAACTGTCTCAAATGGTGGCACTTAAAGAGCGTATTTCTTTATACCCAGAGTTTCACAGTTGAGACGCTGTACGTGTTGATGTGAATCCAGGCACTTAGTTGTCTGGAATGCAGTCGGCATCATCGCATGCTCCGAGTTTGGTGCATACCTTTGTGTTTTGCCTGGAGGAAGAGGTGTCTTACTGCCTCTCTGCCTGCTCACCAGAACACAGGCAGTACGAGAAGAAATACACTCAGCTGCCTTCCTTTCCTCATCTGAGCCAGCTAGAGCTCAGAACAGAGCATGGGACTTTAGTACTGTAGTACTCAGACCCTTGACTTTGCTTTTTTAAGACAGGGTTTCAGGTTTGGGCCCAGGCTGGCCTTGAATTCCCCATCCTCCCGCATTGGCCTGCCAAGGACTTATTATAAACATACACCACCACTTCTGGCTTCTTCATACTCTTAATGTAATGAGATTCCACACAAACATGAAATCTCACGGTGTTGGTCCTTTTTACTATTTTATTCAGACAGCTTTCCTGATTTTACCCATATGAATCAAAATATCCAGTTCTGCCTATTGGAGAATGTTTTTATCTAACTTCATTTTTAAGGTAGTTTTAAACATGCACTTTATGTTGTTTTACATTCTAAAAATACTTCATTGAAAGCTGGGTGTGATAGCATGTGATCGTAATTCCAACACCATGAAGGCAGAAGCAGAAGACTGCAATTTTTCAGTCTTCTTGAGTTGCATAGAAAGTTCTAGGGAAGCCTGGGCTGCATGATGAGACCTTATTGAAGAAAACAAACAAATATTTTATTAAAGTATAACATATAGACAGAAAAGTGCATTCACGAGTAGAATGCAGTGAATTGCCACTGAGTCAATATGCATTGTCATTGGCCACTTTCTGTGCCTCCTCCTAGTTACCCCCATCCCATAGTCCAAAGATCACTGCTGGGGCCTGGTGCTGTGACTCAGTAGTAGACGCTTTGTCACGCAAGGTCCTGGGTTCCATCCCCCGTACATGGTGGGGAGAGGCACGGCTGTCATGATCTCTAACAGTAGAAGTTGGTTTTGTCTGTTTTTGAACTTTGCATAAATAAAACATATACGTTTTAACCTGTTCAGTCTAGTTCCTTGCAAATGTTGACTGACATAGATCACTATTGAAGACAGTAAATGCCCATAAATAACATAGTACAGAAGATTTCCTGAAAAAAATGAAACCTAGCATAGTGCTGCCATTCAAACGCCAAGTTGGTGTTTCCCTTTCTGGTCATCTAAAAGTTCCCATTCTCACCTCCTTTCCCTACTTCTGACTTTCATGTGGCCAGACTCCTGACTATGACTGCCAGTGGCCCAGAGACGACCACGGTGAGATGGACTGTGAAAAGCTAGTTGGGCAACTGAAAGACTGCTCAGACCTGCAGGAGCAAGCAGACATTCTGTACATTCTTTATGTAATCAAGTAAGTGCCGTCATCTCTTTGGGCTGCCATCCTAAGGAACAGAAGTGTATCTCACAGTTCTAGAAGCCGGAAGTCCAAGATACAGTGTCCGGTGACAGCCGACTTCCTCACGGACGGTGCCTTTTCACCCTCTCCTCCCATGGTGGGAGGGAGGTACAACAAGCTCTCCAGGGCCTCTCCTAATCTGATGGATTATGAGGGATCTTACTCCATGGCCTCGTTACTTTCCAAAAGCTCTACATCCCACTACCGTAACTCTGGGGTTAGGATTTTAGTATAGGGGTTTGAGGGGAGCACAAGAATTCAGGACAGAGCAGTAAGTTTATGGGCTTCACCATGTTGAACTTCGTTCTCCATACTTCATTTTCCTGGTCTGTTGGCATTCCAACAATGCCGGACCATGATCACGTTCACCCAAATTACCCAGGAACACCACACATGAAACTTCTATCCTTTTCTCTGCCTCATGATGCTGGCCTTCCAGAAGTCTGGGTGAGGCCAGGATACCATAGTGGTGTGTGAGCACTAAGCTTTTGTTTCAAAAGACATGGTATAGAAATGTTGGCTTGGACTGGAGCCTCTTGGTGAGACCCAGAGTTACTAGAAATGTTCAAATACTTGGCAAAGTGTACAGCAGTCCATGCATCGTCACCCGGCCTTGACACTCTGACCTTCGTCTTTCTATTTTCCTGCCTCCTTCCAGGGGTCCCAGCTGGGATACCAATCTGTTTGGACAGCATGGAGTCACTGTCCACAGTCTTCTTAGCGAGCTCTATGGAAAAGCTGGCCTGAATCAAGAATGGGGTTTGATCCGCTACATTTCAGGCCTGCTCAGGAAGAAAGTGGAGGTCCTGGCTGAGGTCAGAATAAGCATGCCTGCCGGGTTGTCCGTTTGTTCTCTCTAACCCCGTGCTGCCTTCTTCCAGTCCCCTAGTTGTGGAAGCTCAAGGCATGTGCCTCTTGTCAATAAAGGAACTTGAGGGAAGCCGCCCCCGCACTGGCCAGGCCCTCTACTGATTTCAGTGCTCTGGAAGGAAGTGAAATTTTCAAGTTGATTAGTTTGGTTCTCTCTTAACCACAGAAAGCCTTACCAAGCAATCGCATGAAACAAAGTACTTATTTCCACATGTCACAGTAGGGTGATCATTAATGCTTATATCCCTGAGGCCCTGCAAAATCCAGAGCCACTTCCTGTGGCTTTAATGAGCATTCTGGTAAGATGCCAGTCATTGTTACATGTGACTACTGAGGGGCACCTAAGCTAGGAACACAGTGTGGCTAGTAACTCTAATCCTTGCTAGCTAAAGCCTCGACCTACCTTGTCCAAATAGCAGGAAGTCTGGCGTGTTTACTATAGTGGGTAGAGCAGGTCTGGGACCACACCTGGGAGACACAAAGATTACAGGAATCCAGCCTATGTGGGTTGCTAAGCCTGGGTTTTTAGGTTTTAATTTCTCAGAAGGGCAATGTGGATTATGAAGTTCATAAAGGTAAATTTCTGGTGCTGTTGACACTTAACCTCCTCAGTTAGTTTTGCTAAATTTCTGTTCCTTTGTACACCTTCCCCCCCCACACACCACCAAAAATATATGCAGGCTTGTGCGGATCTGCTGTCCCACCAGAAGCAGCTTACAGTGGGTCTTCCCCCTGAGCCCCGGGAGAAGACCATCTCCACGTAAGTCCCTGCTGGGGACCTCCAGTCTGCAAAGGAGCACTGAGAGAACATTGCACTCTTGGGGAGGGATGGCAGGGGCTTTGGAAAATACCCTGTCATGTGGGTGCTTGTAGTATAGAAGGCTGGAACTTAGACTGAGAGAGAGCAAGGGGGCCCTCCTCGGAGGCACCCATTGTGTGTGACCTGCTGCTCTTTCCTAGGCCTCTTCCCCCAGAGGAGCTCACAAAACTCATCTATGAGGCCAGTGGACAGGACATCAGCATTGCCGTCCTCACACAGGTCAGATACTGATAGAGGAAGGGCTGGCTGGGCCACAGCCTTCCTCAGGGTGCCAGGATGGCTCTCAGGTTCCCTGAAGCCCCATTCCCATCTGTACCAGGAGATCGTGGTTTACCTGGCCATGTATGTCCGGGCCCAGCCTAGCCTCTTTGCAGAGATGCTCAGACTCCGGATTGGATTGATCATCCAGGTGATGGCCACAGAGTTGGCTCGGAGCCTGAACTGCTCAGGTAAGTGGCCGTGGCTTGCCACCCTTGCCAACTCAGCCTTACCTCAAGGCCTTGCTGTGCAGGGAGCCACACGCAAGCACTTCTGAACAGGCTTCCGTCTGGGTGAGCTTCGGCTCTCCCAGGTGCCTTTGTGAGAGCTACTTGCTGCTAGGCCACATAGCACAACAACGTTCCTCACCGGGGCGGGCAAAGCAGCTGCCATGTTTCCAGGAGACCCTTGGCTGTACCTGACAGCTAAGCTACAGTGATAGCCTCCCTGTAAGATGTCACCCTCCACTTAATAACATCTTCACTGAGAGAAAGAAATGTAAACATCATTTGCAAAACACATCCCAACATCAGGGATCAGTGCAATGCGAAAAATTCTGTGTCTGGAAATTAACTGCATCTGTGCTGTCCTAAACAGAGGTGTTGGCATTTCCCAAGGACCAGTGAAAGAGTCCTGAGCAAGGAAACCTGCCACCGCCTTCTATATTTTCCTCTCCCACCCCGAACCACCCAGCAGCCCATGCCGAGGCCTCTTATAAGATGTTTGCTTGTAGGAGAAGAAGCTTCAGAGAGTTTGATGAACCTCAGCCCCTTCGACATGAAGAACCTCCTGCATCACATTCTGAGTGGGAAGGAGTTCGGTGTGGAGAGAGGCGGTGAGGACTTCATAGGGAACCCAAGTGCACACCAGCACAAGCATCAGTGGGTCCCCATGAGGAAGGGATTGTGCACGTTCTCTTCCAGTAGGAGGAACTGGAGCATGGGCTCTAGGTTCCTGCTTTTAGGGACAGGGAGCGCCCTCAAAGGGTTGCATTTCTTGGTAGGTTATAGTGGTGGGTGGGCTGAATGAACTGTACACCTTCGTACCTTGCATCTCCTAAGTGTCATGAGGGGAGGTGACCCTAAGGGTCAGGATCACAGGTCTGCCCTTACAAAGCCCCTTGTGGCCTGGCCTTTGGTTTGCCTCAAAGCATTTGTAGCCAGGCCCAATGTCACCTTCCGGAGAGTGGAGAGTAGGAAGAAATATGCTCTGTGACCTGTGGGGGTCAGTTCATTCGCTTCATCTCAGCATTACTCATTTCGTTTTTCTCCATCTTGGAAATCTGCTTGCAGTGCTAAGAAATCTAATCACCCAAGTCCTGGTGTGCTTCTTGTTCCCAAATGTTCCCTAATTATAATTGAAGCAATTATCATTTCTCCTCCTCATAAAAAAGCTAAATGATTCGCAGACACATCAGTGAATTTATTTCATCAAGCCAAAGAAATACACTGTGGGCTATCATTCTTTTTATTTAATAAGAAGGACACTGGGTACTTTGTATTTTTCCTGAGTGTGTGCCAGCCTCAGACAAAGCCACCGCATGGGGCAATCAGCTGTCTATTTTCGGTTTTCTCCTTTCTGAGGGGGAGTGCTTGAGATCCATACCCAAAAGTAATTTACAGTTACTTCAACTACACAATCCTTGAAATGTAAATGGAAAAGATAAATATTTAATATGTTCTGCTCATCATAATAGTGCGCATGGCTTGACAGGTAATTGTCATTAAATGTAAAGCTATATAGATGCTTACAAAACCAAGAACTGAGGAATGTCATTTGAATGCCGTGACATGTCTCACCATGAGTAAGGACAGAAGACATATCTTTTTCAAACATAGCATTTCTTCATTGTCTCGTAACATGTCTTAGGGTTTCTATGGCTGTGAGGAGACACCGTGACCACAACAACTCTTATAAAGGAAAACATTTAATTGAGAGGACTTGCTTACAGTTCAGAGGTTCAGTCCATTATCATCATGGCGGGGAGCATGGTGGCGTGCAGGCAGACATGGTGCCGGCCAAATCTTGATCAGAAGGCAACAGGAAGTGGACTCAGACACTGAGTGAAGCTTAAGCATAGGAAATCTCAAAGCCTGCCCGCACAGTGACACACTTCCCCCAACAAGGCCATACTTACTTCAACAAAGCCACACCTAATAGTGCCACTCCCTGTGAGCTCATGGGGGCCCGTTACATTCAAACTACCACATAACCGTTCGGTTTTTATGAGCTAAGAAGCTAAAGTTCTGACTAAATCTTAAAATTACTATTTCCAGCAAACACTCCCTCAAGTCCAGCGGAGCTTCCCACACCGCGTTTGGCTTCTGTTTTCCATTTCTTGGACACCACTCCTCCCTCTTCACCCATCGTTGGGTCTCCTTGGGGGCTTCCTCCCTTCAGCTGCCCTCCAGCCTCCTGGCTTCAGCGAGGTTCTATAGAAAGTGACCTTGGCGTTGGGCCGACAAAAGGAACGGGGGGCTTCCTGCGGCACCAAAAAGATTGTTTGCGCTTTATCCTGAAGACAGATGTAGACCCAGGAGGATTGATCGCATTTACCTTTTAGAATAATCACAAGGGATTAGTCCTGAAGCTGATGGTATATGATGGAAAGAGGCGTGGCCCGGTGCAGTGGAAAGAGCCGCCTTGCCCCTGTTCCAGAGCAACGCCACGCACGTGTCTGGCTTTGGCAACTGTCAACCTCACCCCTGAGCTCTCTAGCCAGCTCAACCCCTGCTTCCTCCCAAAGGCCCCGAGTTCTGTCAGTCCTGGATGCTGCTACACCCTGTGCACCTGCACCCAGGCCCAGACAAGGCCTGACAAAGCTCCCTCAGCAGCTGGCCCACAGCGACAGGCACCCCAGTTCTAAGCCCCTGAATCGAGTATGCGGCACTTGTGTCCTTTTACCAGGGACAGCTGGCATTACAGAGCTTGGCAAGGTCAGTAGGGATTGTACACATTAGTCAAGATGAACCCTTCAGAAAATCACCAATAGAATTGGGTGTGTTACTCATTCTGAGGTCAGTTGTCGTGCAGTCATTAGACATGTGAGCGAATGTAAAGCTGTGGGAAAACACTCATAAAATATTAAGTGCAGAAACAACCAAACTTGTTTACATATTATGTATGGATATGTCATGTGTAGAATATAAAGCTCATCTTTGTACATGTATGTGATGTTGTGTAAGGTAAAAACATGTATCCATAGCGGAAACCTGGCGGGATAATGAGTGAAATGTCAACAGATGGTACTTCTGGCTCCCTTAGGTGGGCTCAGTTTTCCACAAAGAAAATGTGTTTTGGATAAGTCAAAAAATAGTTTCCAAAACCAATTCAGTCAGCCAACAGTTTTCTGCCACTCTGTTCTATGCTGCTAAAGCAGTACCCACATGTGGTAGCGTGAAAGTAATTGGCCCCCATAAGCTCATAGGGAGTGGCACCATTGAGAGGTGTGGCCTTATTGAAGTAGGTGTGGCCTTGTTAAAGTAGGTGTGGCCTTGTTGGAGGAAGTGTGTCACTATGGGGGCAGGCTTTGAGGTCTCTTACTTAAGCTTCATTCACTCAGTGTCACAACCACTTCCTGTTGCCTTCTGATCAAGATATAGCCAGCACCATGTCTGCCTGTACACCACCATGCTCCCAACCATGATGACAATGGACTGAACATCTGAACTGTAAGCACCCCCCCCCAGTTAAATGTTTTCCTTTATAAGTTGCCACGGTCATGGCGTCTCTTCACAGCAGTGGGAACCCTATCTAAGACACCACACTTTCACACAGCCCTTCCGGCCTCGTGTGGTAAGCCTGTGCTCCCCTCAGCACTACAAGCCCTAGCCTGGCCAGGACAGGTAAGGCCTTCCTCTCAAGTCAAGTAGGGAAGAGATGCGGACCTCAGAAGCATGCTATCCATGTTGCCTCTCTCAAGGCCGGTGCAGTAGATTTCCTAAAAACCTCATGTATGTGTTTCCTTTCCAGTGCGCCCAATTCACTCCTCCACATCCAGCCCTGCCATCTCCATCCATGAGGTGGGTCATACTGGAGTCACCAAAACTGAGAGGAGTGGTATCACCAGACTGAGGAGTGAGATGAAGCAGGTAAGAAGGCCTTAGCATGGCAGCTGTAAAGGCGGGGGGTATAAATGGTTCTTCTGCCAGGGCTCACCTCAGAAAGCTTCAGAAAGACCAGGGCATGTGAAGCGTTGGCCTGCTCTCTGTAGAAGTCGTGGGATCTGAACACAGCCCTGTATCCCAGGTAGGTACCCCAAAGCCATTTACATGCACTCACGACCACCAGTGTCTAGCCTTCATGTGACGTTACATGTATGTACTAGAATAATCCCTTGTCCATGTTTGTTTCTGTAGAGTCATGGGGATGGAGAGATGGATCAAAAGTTAAGAGCACTGGCTGCTCTTGGAGCGGGCTGGGTTCAGTTCCCAGCATCAACATGACAGCTTTTAGCTAGCTGTCTGTGACTCCATTTGTAAGGGATCTGATGCCCTCCTCTGGCCTCTGCAGGCACCCGGCACATAAGTGCTACACATATAATCCATGTAGGCAAATACTCAGACAACAAAAATAAATTTTTAAAAGTGGAATCATGTCAAAAGAGACAACCATTTCTCTATCAGATGTGTCCTTCATCTGAAATGGCCAGGAGGATGTGGAAATAGACAGGAATAATCATGATACCTGTATTTACCACCATCCACAGTTACCTGTTTCCTTTGTTCAACTTAATCTAACGCACAATAGAAATCCTTTTGAGCTGACCCTCACAGGTCTGCAGCTCAACACCTTTTCAGTCCTCATGTGCCTGATCCTGTGCTCGGACATGACCCCGACCCCCACCCCACCCCCGAGAAAATCTGGCCATACACTAGTCACACTGCCTCACTGGCTTGGGTCTATGAGGTAATAAAGGCCAGCCCCTGAGGCTGGGCCAGCATGCCCCGGCTTAGCAGAGAGGGTGATGGAAGCAGCGGAGCATTTTAAACTGGAACCAGGCTTTCACCTTCTGGTGTTTTTACTTTCAGATCATTAGGCGGGCTAGTGCTGATGAGCAGGTGAAGTGCCTTGTTTTGTTTGTCCTGGGGTAGCTGCACGCTCTTTCTGGCTTGAACGTGGAAGATGAGGCTGCCAGTACAGAGTGTGGCTGTGGGTGCGTGGTGGAATGGTACAGGAGGTCAGGCAGGTCAGCCCCAGAGGCAGAGAGCAGGATGAGAAGGCAGGAAAGAGGACTTGGCCCCTCGGCCTTTAGAAAATCCATTTAGGGTGGCCAGTCCAAGCCGTCTAAATGGGTGGCTCGTTTTGTTAGAGCATGGTATTGATCCAAAGAATTCCATTTCTCAAGCTCAGCCTTTAGAAAGATTCTTTGTGAAAGAGATGGACCAGGCTCTGCCTCCACCAACATTTCTCTTCTAAAAGAGGGGAATGTGGTCAGTAATCTCATCACTGCCTTCCTCCAACCTGGGAGGAGTCAACCCTGGATGGAAAACATGTCAGGCCCCTGTGTACATCACCCTGTGATATACGCCTTCCCTTTAGAAAAACATTGGACATTTTTACTTATAGGTTTATTTTTGAGATGGGGGTCTCCATGCAGCCGGGCTCAAGGGATCCTCCTGCCTCAGCTTCTTGAGTAGGTGGGACTACAGATGCACACTGCCACATCTGTCTTTGGATTCTTATTCCCAATGATTCCATGTCTCTATGACCAGAGAAAGTAAGTGTATGATGGCACATAATGCTGATTGCAGGTTTTCTCAGAGCATAGACCCTACTGAGTCTCTCATTTATGCTTCTTCTACGGAAGTGATTTTCCAAACATCTTCCTTTGTCAGCCACTCGGTGGCACCGTCCCTCTGGTTACCCACAGCTCAAAAGCCTGGTGGGTGAATATGGATGGCTTCTTCCATATAGTGCTGCCCTTGCCTGTGATGGGGGTGAAGTAATTACCTTCCTGCTCTCTTGTGTTCATATTCAGTCAGCCAGTACCAGTTTTGTATTTGGCCACTCGCGTCAAGAAAATGCTCTCTGGTAAAAATTTAAAAGGGGTCATGGTGTTGTGTCAACTCATTTTTGCAAGCATACCACAGACACAGAGCAGTATGCAAATTAAGGGTGCCATCTCGATTCTTAGATGAGGAAAGCTGTAAATGGTCAAAGGTCATCAGCCTGCTCCCCATGGACATTTAACAGTGATCTATGGGATACCTGTTGGATGGCAGGTGTTAGTGGCAGTTAGGGGTATTTTGACATCTATGGATGTTCACAGTGCAACAGAAAACATTAGCATGGCATGGTCATGACTTTGGAACATGTCCTAGTTTGGTTAGGTCAACCTCACAAAGGAGAAGGAGGGAACACTTGCTATCTCAAGCCAAGCTGGGCGGCAGGGGAGCATGGGTGTGCCTCTGTCGCTGGTGCTCAGTGAGAACCTCGCTAGGCTTCGTCTCTGCCTTCAGTCTCTGTGCTTTTCGTGCTGGGGTCTCTTGGTGTCACTGCACGTGACTGAGTCTATTCTTTTTGTTTTGTAGTTCTTTCCTGTGGGCCAGGCTGTGTCCAACAGTTTGCATTCCTTCAAGTCTGCGGTAAATCTGTATTGGCGTCGCACCCCCTCCCAGTCTTCTCCATGTCTGTACTGTCCAAGTTCTCTTGTGGCCTTACCCATGCTCCCACCTCGTCCCCACTTATGTTTAAGGGTGTGTGTGTGTGTGTGTGTGTGTGTGTGTGTGTGTGTGTGCGCGCGCGCGCGCGCATGCGCGCGCGCATAAGTTCACATGCAGTTTTGGACATGGAACTGAGGCCCTCACACATTCTGAGCAAACATTCCAGCACTAAGCTTTGCTACAACCTTCAGCCCTGACTTCTGAAGGTTTGAGTAAAGGTTAAGGCAGTGATTCTCAACCTGTGTGTCACAAATTCTTGGGGGGGGGCGGGTCAAACGATCCTTCACAGGGGTAGCATATCAGATATCAGACCTGCTTATCAAATATTTACATTATGATTCCTAACAGGAGCAATGAAAATCATGTCATGTCTGGGGGTCAGCACAACACGAGGAACTGTATTTAAGGGTGGCAGCGTTAGGAAGGCTGAGGACCACTGGGTTAAAGGTTTTCAGGTGATGCTGAGGGTACCTTCAACTATAAGTTTGAGAACATTCTAGAAAAGTTTATATATTCTTGAACTGAACTTTGTTTTCCATCTCATGCTCTCAGATCTTAGCTTGTAAAACTCCTCAATAGAGTGTGGGTGAGGTGTGCTCACCTTACCAATGCCCCGGAGTTTCTAGAGTCTTCCGAACACTGCTTCCAAGGCCGTTCCTTGTTTGTTTTGCAGTGTTGAGGATGAACTGGGATCCGAGCGTGCTCAGCAGGCACTCCAGCACCGCCCCACCTCCCAGGCCTCCTGCCTCTTTGTTGAGTGTTCACCGCTGCCCCCAGCCTAGGCAGCAAGCACTTTCTCCTCTCCTGCCCCAGCTGAGCATGTGGCCCTCGCTCCAGTGGAGGCCCAGGAAATGTTCTAATTGCAGAGGCGAGTCTGAAGCTGCCTCCCAACACCAGAAGGAGAAAATCAGCTGAGTCATTGATGAGTGTGGCTGTAATTACTTTTATTTGTAGCTAATTGTTGCCTTATTTAAATGGCAGTAAGGAGCCCGGCAGAAGAACCCAGCCTAACTAACTGCCTTTTCAAAATAAGATCTGTTGAAGTCAACATGAGTTCTGAGAGAAGAATCCCACCTCCTGCCCTGCTAGTGTGCTTAATATTTGGATTTTTATTTTTAAACCTTTAAATTTGAGGTTGCAAGTTGAGAAACAGAAGTGCCAAACAGTCCAAACAAAAATGCACGTGAAGATGTGTGCTAGCCTCATCCCAACCTGAAGAGTCCCTCCATGGGCGGGTCGGTGGCAGCTTCCACACCTGATCGCTGCCTGGTGGAAGTCCGTCCATCCTGCCCCCAGTGGTCAGCAGCCCTCCAGCACTTCCCTTGTGGAGTCTAGAGAGGCCTAGCCTCTCACAAGGAAATGGGAAGGTGTCGCCCTCTAACCCTGGTCAGCAGGTCTAAGCTGAAGGCCACCGTAGAAGAAAACTCAGGACCAAGAGCAGGACAGTAGAAATGAGGATTGAGAGGCAGGGGGAGAGCCCCACTGCTAGGCTAGGGTTCCTAGTTGACTTTCTGTCTTCACTCCTGGCCCCTTCTCCCTGTGTGTGTATGTATGCCATTCTCTGTGCTGTTTGTCCCATGGGGAGGTGATGGTCACTTCTCCGTGGCGCTGCTGAAGGAAATCAGGCCCGTGGGCATTTGCCCCTACCCCAGGTCGTCTCTCCTTCCGGTCCAGCTCATCTTCTCGGAGACCACCTCTCCAAGTACTCTTGTGGCTTGCTTCCCTTAAATCGGCTTTGCGTGCCTGGCCAGTGACCTCTGAGGGAGTGGCCTTCTGGGTGACAGCTTCCCCCTGAGCAACAGGGACTCTGTGGGAGGGGGGGGGGTTGTGTCTTCACCAAGTGAGTGGCAGCAGACAGCTCCCTCCGGGAGATTATGTCCCCGTCGTGTAGATGGACTGGTGATGCCAGCTAGCATAGGGCACGGGCAGCCTCGGCCCGGTGCTGTCACAGATGCTCTTGAGCTTGGCCGTGGCAGCCTGATGGCAGAGCCCACAGCTGGATCTCTTTGGCCTCTGTCCTGTGAGCTCAGGGCCCCACCCCCACCCCTGGCGTTATCCTGAGAAGAAGTAAGCTACCAAAACAGCATGAAAACCTATATCCAACATCAAGTAGCCAACAAATTAGAGTTCCGGAGCCCTGTGCCCCTGGCTGGGTGACATGTGGAGGAAGATTTTGACTCGTTTGCTGAGCTGGCCTTTCAAGGTGGCCAGTTTTTCCCTGTGGGCACCTGCCTCTGAAGGCCAAATGGGTATCTGTCTTGCAGAGGTCCAGTACCCCATCCTCCCCAACGGGCACGTCATCTACAGACTCCGGAGGACAGCACATGGGATGGGGTGAGCAGCAGGGCCAGTGGCTGCGCAGGAGAAGGCTGGACGGGGCCATCAACAGGGTCCCCGTAGGCTTCTACCAGAGAGTGTGGAACATCCTTCAGAAGGTGAGCCGGGTGCTGAGGAGACAGACTCTGCCTGCCTCCAGGAAGCCCAGTGAAGGTGCCAGGTAGCGAGAAGCTGAGGGCTCCAGAACGTGCAGCCCCAACCTTGATTGGCTCAGCCTGGAGCAAGGTCTCTGTCCGTGGCACGTTAGCATCTAACACTAGGTAACTGTACTACGGTGCCGTCTTGTGCACTGTCTTAGAGGAAGCAGTGTCTACCGACTGATCGCCGGTGGCGTCTCCCCTCCCGGACATGGCCCCACAAGTAGCTTTAGACATTGTCAAATGGCACGACAAAATAGCAGCCCTGCTTGTGTACAACCAACTCTGAATAGTTTAGGATCCTAGAAAACTAAAGATAGACACACACACACAGACACAAAAAAAAAAAAAAAAAAAAAAAAAAAAACCAGACAGGGCAGGGAAGACTTGGAACAAACATTGGTGCCCCAGAGGATCTGCAGCATTACCTCTGGATCTGGCTTGAGGCTGAAACAATGTGATGGAGCCCCTGCTTCCTGCTAGGCCTTGGGGGTACTGAGAAAAGATTGTAGCCTCACCCCAGGAGCCATGTGCCCTCAAGGCACACTCTCCTTCCTGCTCTGGGCTACCCGTTTCCATGACTGGACAGGAGAGCCCCCAGGGCCCCCCACCCCTCAGCCAGCTGCCCCCTGCTCCTGTGACAGTGAGATAGGGCTGTGAAAATCGCATCCGTTTGTAGTGTGACACCGACACGAAGTGACACATCCCAGACCACACTGTGCCACACACACACCTGAATGCAGGGGGGCCTGCCTGTCTTAAACACCTGCCGCTGAAGTGGGGGTAGCCACCTTGTCCCCTACACCCCACAATCGGTCTTCTCCCACATTCATACCCCCCCCCAGGCCTCAACAGAGCTTGTCCTGCCTCCCCCGTGGAGGGACAGCATGCCTCATTTAAAAGCTTTGCAAAGCAAGACAAATTTCTTTTTTCTCCGAACCGTGCCTTTTTAGCTCGTTTCACAGTAGGAGAGGAGCGAGCTGCTAAAATCCCAAATGAGAACACACTCCGGCTCCTTTGTGAAGTCACAGCCCACTGTCTTCTTTCTGCAGCAGGCGCCCAGGGCCAGGCACAGGGCTTCAGTGGCTATGCTCTGTCCACCGAGGCCTTGCTCAAGACAGCTGCCAAGCTGGCTAGGAGGGCAGAGCCTGCAGAGGCCCCACGTTCACCCTTCTAGATTTTTGTGGGGAGCCCTCAGGCCAGCATGAAGGTAGGGCAGCTGTTGCCAACTGGAGGGTAAAAAATGGCCAGTTAGACAAGGCCCATCTATTCCTCGAAAATCTCCTCAGTCTTCCTGGGGCACCATACCCTTCCAACCAGCCTTCTGTTGGCCCAATACCAAGATGCTTTTCTTATGAAAAAGCAGCATTTTGCGTTGCGCCCCGTTGGTATTTATATACATGGGTGTGCGTGTATGTGCATGTGCTCCAGCCTTTTGTGATTGGTGCTTATTATAGAAGTCTCGAAAATAGACGGCTGCAAAGGCGCAGGAGCATAACTTCACCAATGGGAGCCACGAGCATCTCCCGTCATTTTGGCACCAAAGGGGGCCTGGCAGGCACCCGGGCCCAGTTGCCAAGTGCCACATAGAGCCTCTTGGGAGGAGGACGCAGCAGCTCCCTAGGACATTGTTCCTGCACTGATCTGAAAGATGCCTGCTGGTTTCCCTAGAATTGTGCCATCGAAAACACAGCCTGTGGGCAGTGAGAACAACACTCTAAAAATAACCGACAGTCTGGCATGTTCCAGCCCTTGTGCAGATTTCCAGGGCAAGGAAAGTTGTGTGTCTGTGTGTGTGTGTGTGTGTGTGTGTGTGTACGCGCGCGTGCCCACGTGAGTGTGAGCAAGCACACACTTGTGGTGGTCTGGAATTTGACTGAAATGTCTGTGTTCTGCTTCCAGTGCCATGGTCTGTCCATCGATGGTTATGTCCTCCCGTCTTCAACAACTCAAGAGGTAGGGTGACATGGCTGATGCTCCTGTGCCTCGCACGTTTGTTCTGTGTAGACAGACCATCTGTAGGTCACCTTAACCACCTCACCCTCCAAGGGTGTGAAGCTCCTTCCCTTTCTTGTTCCCTTTTCTCTCTCATTCCCCTCAGAAATACCATTTATAGACTACTTGGGCCCTTCGAACCCCATGCAAACTCCATCCCCCACACGCTCGACCCACGCAGGGGCCGCTCCTCACACACGCATTCTGCCCTGTGCTCTATTTGCCCTCCATGCATTGTGGGGTAGCTTTAGCCTTCCAAGCAGGAGGCACCACACCTGGCACCTCCAGCCATTCCTTTAAAAATAGATTCGGTTTGGTTTGGTTTTTTTTTTTTTACCCTGACCAAGGTACCAGGCTTTATGCCACAGAGAATTTCTCTTCTTTGTAGGAGATTCTTTCTACAGGAAATGGTCCCTGCTCCCTAGAAGTCAGTCCAGTGGGTAGACAAAAGGAACTAGAACAATGTCAGCTGGCTCTTGGGGCGAAAAGCAGTCAGCCTCTGCCCCAGAGGGCTCCTGCTCCAGAGTCAAAGCAGCGTCTAGAAGGAAGGTAGCTTTTGAGCTGAGTCCCAACAGCACTAGGGGCAGTATTGCTTATAGGGCTCTGTCTGTCCCACATCTCACGCTGGAAACCCGATCCCTCTGGCAGATGACCCCGTGTGAGATCAAGTTTGCTGACCACGTGGAGTCAGTGCTCAACCGCGTGTCCCAGCCCGAGTATCGGCAGCTGCTGGTGGAGGCCATCATGGTACTGACCCTGCTCTCAGATACGGAGATGGACAATATCGGAGGCATCATCCACGTGGACCAGATTGTGCAGCTGGCCAATCAGCTGTTTCTTCAGGACCAGGTGGGTATGACTAGGCCGCCCACTCACTCCACTGCCAAAGCAGGAGAGTCAGGTTGGTTGCCATTTATCCCTGTTGGTGCTGGAGATGGGGTCCAATTGGAAGGCATGTACTCAAACCAGGAAAATGTCATCCCAGATGGTGAACAAATGTCAACCATTTGGTTAGGAAATGGCAAAGTGGCCACTTGGAAAATCTGACAACCTTTGGGGAATCTGGTCTGTGTCGGTGTAGGTTTTATTCCAGACACTGCCACTTGCTACATACCTACCTGCCTCTTGCTAAACTGTTTGCCCTGTATACAAAACTGAGTCAGACAAAGAAGCTGTCCTCTCGAAGAATCGGTGCCGAGCAGCACCCAAAGGAGGACTCTGAGAACACAGCATTCCCAGCAGAGGCAGAACATTACCATGCGTTCTGTCCCATTGCCAACATGAGATACCTGCCTCGTGGCACTGGCTTCCTGCCCTGAGGCCTACCCTCCAGCTCCCAGCCCCACCCGTCTGTAGTCGAGCAGATCATCTCCGACATGCAGAGAGGTTTATGAAGGAAAAAGATGGATCCCACTCATTTTTTTCTCCCCTGCTTTTTCTGGCTGCAGGTATCATTTGGAGCCACAGACACCTTGGAAAAAGACCAAGCCACAGGAATTTGTCACTTGTTTTATGACAGTGCTCCTAGTGGCGCTTATGGTACAATGACCTACCTAACAAAAGCAGTGGCTTCCCATTTGCAGGAACTGCTGCCCAGTTCAGGCTGCCAGATGCAATAGGGCCTTACCCATAAACACGACCACCCTCTGAATCTGCACTCGGTCCCATAGCCTCATTGGGAAGTCTTTTCTGCCTTCCCCCCCGGGTCCCCTGTTCTGATCCCCACCAGAAAGCTTCCCGGGGAGGAGATGACAGTACTCAAGCCGGAAGCAATGTGTGTTTAAGCCACAGATAAAGCTGATGAATCCCTGCTCCCCTGAGAAGCAGCCTGGGATCATTTTCTAGGTTCATTTCACTGGAACGTTTGTCACAGCAGCTGGGCTCCTGGACTCGGAAAAGGAACTGGAAATTGGTCTCTTCTGAGCGCAGAGTGAACTGAGAAGCCAGCTTAAATTGGCTCTCACCAAGAGTTACAGAAATAGGTCCGATGAGCTAGTGATACATGTTGAGGTGGAAAGATCCCTCCAGCGACAATAGCTAGACAAGCAGAGCTGGACAGGGGCACAGCCCAGCAGAGTGCAGTCTGTCTGAGGACCAAACTGTTCACCTGACAGAGTAATTCGGTCTCTCTGGAAATTTCTCCTAACCCCCACTCGGTTGAGGTCATATAAGTCTTCATTGCCCACATGAACTAAATTGGCCCTAGTTAATATTGGCTCGTAGTCTTCAGAGGATCTTGTCCTGACTGTCCACAGGCGTCTCCTCTCACCTTAGAAAAATTCCTTAGCTTCCAGAATCCAGAAAAAAACAACAAAAGGAAGGTGAGGCCCTGACTCTTCAGGTAGCCAGACTGTTTTAGGAGGGGGTCCCGTGGAAAGAAAGGCCTATGTCCCTGCTCCCCCTGAGATCACCACCGTGCATGCTCAAAGCATGAGTCAGCATTTGCCATGGAAATCAGTGGGGTGTTCCTGCAGAAACAATGCTCCCTTAAAAATAGCCTGGGAACCCAAACCATGTTTTTACAGAAGCACTCTCAGATGGGCATGGTTGGTACACTATGCCAGAGAAGGCTGAGTCCTGGCAAAGTCTGGCGATTCTTTCGCCATTGTCCTGGTGAATGGAGGTTCTTTTTAAGCCTTGCCTTCCCCATGTTGGGACGGGGATAAATAACTGAAAGAGTAGTTTCTGTGAATAATCAGGCCTGAAGGACAAAGTCACCTAGTGGCCAAGTGCTACATTCCCATCTAGTTGTGAGAGGTTCCGATTCACAGTGACTCTTCACCCCGGAAGTGGAAACAAGGCTGCTTTACTATCTTCTCAGAGTCTGTGTGGAGAGGGGTCTTGGTGATCAGAGGTGAACAGTATCCCTCAGGGTGGAGATTCGGGGCTGACTTCACTTTATTCTCAAAACAGAAGGTGGCAGGGTGCCCTGCTGTTCCCTACCACTTCTAGGCATTTCTAAAAACTGTCTTTACCTGTGTGTGTCCCTGTGAGTGTGTGCCGCCTGTGTGGGAGTCCCTGCAGAGGCCAGAAGAGAGCATCAGATTCCCCAAGAGCTGGAGCTACCGGTATTTGTGAACCACCCTGATATGGGTACTGGGCCCCAAGCTCAGGTCCTCGGGAAGAGCAGCAAGGACCTGCTGAGCCATCTCTCCTGCCCTCTTGGATCTTCAACATAAACCAGGGTCAGAGTCACGTGGTCCACTGACAGGTTCCCTGGTAGGTAATTTCAAACACACGGTGAGACAGGAACAAGGCTTGGAAGGCACGGGAGAAGTTCTAGAAGCAGAGCCCCTCAGACTGGGCCCGGTGCTAATTCCGCACACTCTTAGCCTGCCAGTGCCCTGGCTGTGACGTGAGAAGTGGCAGCTGCTGGGTTGGGCTCGAGATGAGCCACAATGAGCCATTCACCGCAGCCTCGCAGCCACTCTCTGAAATCTCTCCCCAATGCAGTCCCGAAATAGGACTGCATTTCCACAGGCAGCGAGCTGCCAGCTTCAAAGGAAGAGAGCAGGCTTCCGAGACGATCCCTTTAGTGAGCAGCCAAGGCCATGGCCAAGAGGGACAGATGTTTGCGGGGACGATGACAGTCCCATCCTGACATCAGCCTTTGCCTGGAGGTGCTGGTGGGGAGAAGGTCTCCTAGCCCCTGTGGCCTCCGTCTTGGCTGGCTGTTCCCCCGCTCCCAGAGGCATGGCAGGGAGCCTCTTTCCCGTCTCCCCTCCCAAAGCTGAAACGCCAGTTTTTAACCTTTGCAGGGGCCTAGAATGTGGCCCTAGAGGACAGGTCAGTGAATGCAGGGGTTACTTTCATATTTAACAGAGCCAGTTGAAAGGCGGCAGGCTGCCCTCTGGTCTGCTCGCCCCGGTTTTCCAAAGGTCAGCTCTGCTATCCTGGCATTGACACCAGGACTTGATCTTGGGGAAAGGGAGTTGGCCTTTGTGTGCCTTAGTTTACCCATCTGCCAAAAAGAGTAGGAGACCTCCTGACTGGTACAGAAGCTTCCTTTGGCGGTTAGGTGACCAGATATTCCCTAGGACAACACCAAGCCGTCTGAAGCGAAGGAACGCTATGTCATGTCCAGGTTAGTCTACCCTCCTTCTCAGCCTCAGCCATAGGAAAGTGGTTGGCAGGCATCAGCTGCCCAGATAGGAAGAATGCAAACATTTCTTGGAGAACAAAATGGGGAGCCCACCAGTCAAGTGGCAAAGAAACACTTGGCCAGTTGATTGATGCCATTGGTTTCTGGACAAGATGGCAGGAGCCTTGGCCTCTTTCCATAAACTACAGTGGAGTCATCTCTCCATCCTGTTGACTTGTGCACAAGTCCAACAAGTCACCTTTGGCTTCTCTGCTTCCTTCTTGTCAAAGGGGACAACAGTCTCTCATCTCTCCCTGTGTGCCATTCTCTTTCAAGGTGACTCCAGCTTTTGAAGTCCCTGCCATCTGCCACGTGCAGCTCTGTACTTTGCAGGATGGGAGAACATCATCTTCCCAGAATGCCGTCTGTTCTCCAGTATTGGCCATTGGTAGTTCTGCTTGTGAAGAAAAAAGCAGCACTTTGCCCTCCCAGAGCCCAGTCCCCCTTGTCTCTCTCCATCAGAAAGCCAATTAGGAAAAGCCATAACCTCGAGTTACTGAGAGAATTCTCAGAGGAATGAGAAGAGCAGTTACTAAGATTAGCTTCCAATCTTCGGCTGTGTGTCTGATTGATGGTAGGGAAAATTCCATCAGAAAACTATCTTTCAGGAGAAGATATGTGTGTGTGTTTTTAAGGGACTATAATGCCTTCTTCGAGAGACTGCACTCAGCAGAGACAATGAGCTCTGACCGTGTGTGACTTTCCCCTTGCCTTACTGCAGTCCATAACTGGTCTGAGAAATGAACAAACGAATCTGAAGGCATGTGCAGCATGCCTTCCATGGCCAGGCATCGCTAACTAAGCACATAGAGACTTGGCCATGCACGGTGGCAGATAACGAGCAGCCCACTCATTTCTGAAACCCTCAGAGGAAGGCACATTGGCCAGGCTGCTTATCCGAGAGTTCTTCATGCTGATCTGTTGACATTCACATCTCAGTTCTAAATCTGGTGGCTGCCGAAGCCTTCCGCTTCCAGCTAGTGGAGGCGAGGTGCGGACGGCTTCAGGTTGACCATGCTGCATCTTCATTGGGCACAAGGGATAACTGCTTCCATCGCTCTTTGTGTGTGTGTGTGTGTGTGTGTGTGTGTAATTGTGCACATTTAGAGACTAGAGGAAGACATTGTGTATCCTCTGTCGCTCTCCACATCATCCTCTCAAATCAGGGTCTCACTGGATCTGGAGATAAGCTGAAAGCTAGCAGGCCTCCAGTCTCCACTCTCCCACACGCCCCGCTTGTGTGTGCATGCATCCAAGCACACACAGGATGCTGGAGCTAGAGGCACATGTGTGGCTGCACCTGACCTGTTCATGAGTTTGGGGGTTTAAACTCAGGTTCTTCTTGCATAGCAATCACTCTTACCTGCTGAGCCCAGAGCCACCCACATCTCCTATTCAGAAGGATCAGCCCAGCTACACATTCAGGATGGACTTGCCAAGGAGAAATACCAGTCAGTAATTGACTCTTGGCTCTCATGGCCATTGTGTCACTTTTGGCCAAATGTCTCAGTTCTTACTTGCAAATAACAGAATCACACCCTAGCTCAGTAAATGCAAAAGATATTCCATAAAGAAGATTGACTAAGTCACATATCACCAAACCAAATCTCCAGCTTGCTCCCAGGCTCCCAGATGCCCCTGATGCAGGATACTGCCACCAAGGCCAGATGGGCCACCTCTGCCCTTCTGGAAACTGAATGTAGGGACTGCCACCTGTCATCAGCATGGACTGTAAACAGCCACAGGCTGCCAGTACAAAGCCTTGGGCAGGAATGCAGTATCAGCTGGTGGAAGAGGCCATTAGCTGGTCTTCTGCCTCTACAGTTGAGGCGGACTCAACCTCACAGTGTGGGGATAATGAATAGGGTTGGGCCAGCCATCCTAAACAAATAGGATTCCAGCCAGGAGTCTAGTTTTTGTTCTTTGTCCAGAAAAGAAGGACCCCCCCACCCCCCGTGTCTGAGCCGGAAAACTGGCTGTGGAAGTTGTGTGGAGAGTGAAGAGAGCACACGGGAACGTCCCCCCTGGCTGGAAACAGGACAGTTGTTTGTATGTTCTCCTTGGAAGTACAGCTGCCAAGCCACGGTTGTCAGATCGCCACTGGTATCCAGGGACAGCCTCCCCCCCACCACCACACAGCCCTCAGCTTCCAGTGAGCTGTCATAAATCAGTCCAGCAAAGCTTGCAGGAGTTGCTGATGGACCACACATTCTTCGTGACCACAAGCCCAGCCCCATTAGGCTCTCTGGACCCTGAGTGACAGCCCATCTGGAACAAGATGCAAATGATTGTCACATCTTTCCTTCTAAGCCACTAGCCAGCTGGGGGATTTAAAAATAAAGAATTGGAACAGAATCATGGTATAAGCCTCTCTCCTGACAGTGTGAATAATTTCCCCCAGCTGTCACCAGGGCCTGCTCCTGCGTTCTTGTGCGCACGGGAGGCCCTCCCCTTGGCTAGAGGGAGGCACAGCTAACTAGAGGAGGCTTCCTCCTCCTCCAGCTCCCTCTCCTTGTCTGGAGAGGCAGGCACGAGCTCCTCTGCATTTCTTTCCTCATTAAGCACGAGCCGCTGGGCTCCAGTGCAGGCTGGCTGAGAGGTTTGGAGCGGACCCGGTATCCGAGGAGAAGCCCTCTCTGTGCGGGAGTTGAAGTAGCTACACTGAGCGGACCCTGTGACCCAGAAGAATTGGGCTCTTGTGGCCCGAGTCCCTCCTTTTCCTGCCCAGGGTCTGGGACTCCTGGAAGACCTGCTCTACTGAGGGCACATAGCGGGAGGGTGGCACCAGCTGGCCATCAGCTTGGTCCTGTCAGCACACATGTATGCTGGTGCCAAGATAAGACGGGCTGGGGTTCGGAGGCCCCATGTCTACTAAGGACACAAACTAGTCACCAGTAGGAGAGGGGTCAAATGAGGGGTCAGAGGGAGTCTTACCTGGGCCCTGTATCAGCGCCGGCTTGTCAGCGCAAACATTGCTAGGACGGCAAGGTGTGAGCCTTGACAACAGAAGAGACGGGAGCAGATGCTGCAAGGCATTCTGGTAGCTGCTAGGCCAAGAAGATGCACAGGTTTCTGGGGGTGGCACACGGCCTACATCCTCTGTCATTCAATGCCAGGCGTCCCACTCCTGGGCGCATGCCAGGGCAGCCATGTTTGCTCAGCAGTGCAGGAAGGGAAGGGAACCCCTGGCACTACTGGGAAGAGTTTGCACGGTATCACGTGCACTGCTTCCTCCAACCCCTCCCTGTGTGGTGACGGGTGCAACCCCCTGCAACAGGATTACTAAAGCACCTGCCACAAGATGGAGACCCTGGAGCCACAGCTGCTTAACATCTGTCGAAGCACGGTGCTCTACAGACAGGACAGCCGGGGGAGGCCAGGCCATCTCCGTCTCCTGCAGTGTAACCAAGGGGGTGAGAGCGGACCCCAACCCCTCCCTCTCCCTCCCCCAGGCAAAGGAGGAATGACTAATTAGATGTGTTGGGGTGCGCTGAGCTGAGCCGTGGACAAGAATAAAGCAGAGAGGTGCAAGGGTGGGACCTGAGGGAGGGGAGGATTGGAGAGGAGCTCTGCCGAGGCGACGCTTGATGCGAGCTACAAGACGTGAGGACCTGAGCCAGGCAACGGATGGGAAAAGGGTGTTAGAGTGAGCAACCAGTGTAAAGGTCCTGAGGCAGAAGAACCCCAAAAATGTTCAAGGAAGCCAGGGGTAGGGGAGCATCCACTTTACTTTTTGTCTCAAGTCACAGGGAAGTTTTGAGCAGAGGCCTGACATAAATACTTCCCTGGGAGACTAGCTTGGAAGGGAGTTGGAAGAACGAGGCTAGCTGGAGATAGAGGGGAGGAGAGGTCTGCTTTACACTCCGCTGGGAGGGAGCATGTCTGTGAGAAGGTCAGGAAGGGGCAAGTGCCCCGAGTGGCTGACCTTGCACAGGGTATGAGATGCCCACAGTTTCCAGGGGCACTGGCTCCGGCTTGGCGGCTGTGTTGGGTAAGATACTGGCAGCCGGAAATGGCCGTGAGTAGATGAAAGTGGAGAAGAGGCTGGAGTCCTTCCTCCATGCTTCACCCATCTTTCCTGCTCAGACCCCAGTGCTCCTTATAACCTTTCCAAGCAAACATAGCCATATGTGTCCACACGTGCATGCGTGCATACGGAATGCCTGGTCTGTGCCCCTCAGTGGGGCTGCTGTTGGAGACAAGGCAGCAAAGGAGACAGTGTCTGGGAACTAACCCTGGGGCCCTGTAAACTTCTGCCCTTTCAAGAGGTTTTCCTCTCGCCTGATGGACTTCAGACCTCTGGTGTCCCTAAGCATCTGTGTGGCCTTCAAGTCAGGAGGCATGAGTTATAGACTTTGAACTTCTGCAATTGGCTCAAAGGCTGCTTCCCATGCACTTTAAATAGATATGCTGGGCTAAGTTTGAAATTGGATGCACCCCACTCCCCACCCCCCAAAAAAAGGCATAATCAGAAAAAGAAAAGAAAGCAAGAAAGAAATGTGAGGCACTCAATGAAAGAAAGGAGGCCCTCCCTGACCGAGGTGGCCATAAGGAACATTCCAGAAGGTTAGCCAGGAACATGTACCTTGAGGGATAGAGGAAGTGGGGATGGGAAGGAATAGTCCTAGGACAAGAGGGCTGGCTCTGAGGAGGCCCCGGAATAAGTGCTCCAGTCCAGTGAAGTGTTTTCCTGGTATTCCTTGGGGTACTGGAAAAGAGAGGGAGGCAGAGTTGGTTTCCTACATGGTACACATACACCACACATCCTACACTCTAAATCCAGCAGTCATGTTAGCAAATGAGCTGCCAAGAGCACACACGGTGTCCTGTCATGGCTTATGACCCCAACATGCCCAGCTTTTGCAGGCCTCTAATACACACCGAGATCAGGGAATCCTGGCTCTGTGCCTAGAGCTCTGCTGAGACCATTTCTCCAAGTTGCCTAGCATTCAAGTCTTGGGACAGCAGCCTAGTAAGCGTCTCTCAAATGGCCCACTTGAAGGCCAAAAGGAAGGTAGATAGTGTTTTAGAAACAGCCAAAACTCTTAATCAGGGTCTCGGATGTAATATAGACAAGTCACCCTAGATACCTTTTGGCACTGTTGTAAGCATTGAGTTTCTGATCTGGGCCCTAATTTCACCTACTGCCTGAGTCCCGCCTCCCATCCTGTCTTCAGAGGATCCGCCAGTAGACAGCACCTCTGATTAGACATCGTCTCCCGGTGCCTCGGTTTCCTCCTCTGTGAAAAACTAGGGTGATTATGCAATCCATCTCTGTGTGTTGTGTCTAGAGGTCAGCAAGACAGTGAATGCATGCAACAGTGAATGCATGCAACAGCGAATGCATGCAACAGTGAATGCATGCAACAACAGTGAATGCACAACCGTGCTATACTGTACAGGAATTGCTGCCTATGGCAGAAGCTCAAGAGCCAATTGTAGCTGCCACTCCCTATGGCACCTACCTAGATCTGCAAGCACTCTGTACTCTGAAAGGCAGGCCAGGATGCTTTAAAGAGAAATCTGCAGTCAGCTAGGTGACCTTTGCACTGTGACTATGGATGGTGACTCAGCTCTCCTAGTGTGTTTACTCAGAATGCAAAGTGGATGGTAATTTGCATCATAGGAAGTTTTGGCTGGTCTTACAAAACAGCTAGTAGAAATAGAGTGTGAGAGGTTGGACCTTGGCGACCCCAAGCTGGCCTGCCTGGTGTGAGGCCAACTTAACCATCTGCTGTGAACACCTAGAATGGCCAAGGCAATGTCCTGCGCCTCACTCTGAGCAGGTCTCTCCCCTGCAGCCAGAGGCAGGCCGTGGCATTAGAGAAGGGAAGCAGATCCTAAGCCCCACTTGCAGATGTAACTGATGGACTTCCTTCCTCTTGGCTCTTGGCACCCAAGGGGCTGTTACTGCAGAGTGGGCTGGAGCTGCCTGACTTCCTTGGGAGAAAGAGGGATGCTCTTAAAAGGGAGAGTGGGAATGAGATGATCAGTGGGTAAGTGGGTAATGTGCTTGCCAATCAAGCAGGAAAACCTGAGTTTGGATTCAGGGCCCGTGTAAAGCTGTGTGTTGTAGTGCCTCTGGAATCCAAGACCTCTGACAATGAGATGGGAGACAGATAGTAGAACCCCAGAAGCTGTTACTCCCAAAGATGCAAGGAGAAAGACCATTGACAAAAAACATCATGGCCAAATTAATTAAAGCAATCATTTTTTAAAAAAGATTTATTGATTTATTTTGTATACAGCATGTATGACTACAGGTCAGAAGAGGGCACTAGATCTCATTACAAATGATTGTGAGCCACCATGTGGTTGCTGGGAATTGAACTCAGGACCTCTGGAAGAGCAGTCAGTACTCTTAACCTCTGAGCCATCTCTCCAGCCCCTAAAGCAATCATTTTTAATTGTGTACACGGGCTGCCTCCCCCTAAGGTATTCAAGAGGTCAGCATTGGATGTGGAGAAGATAAGGCTTTTATAGCTCATGGGTAGGGAGCTTCCAAATGGGTTTGGCAGGCAAATAGGTGGGGTCACAGGAGCAGAACATAAGCATAACAAGTTAGTCGTAAAGACCTCCCAAAACAATGATGTGGTTGCAAGGTGGTCGTAACAACTTTTTGAAACAGAGATGTGGTTGCCAGTCCTGGAGCAGGCAGTTTGTCTTTACTGTAAGATGGCTTTCAACCCTAAGATGGAGGCGGGCTGGTTCATCAAATTCCTAGGCCAGGTAGCCTGGCAGAAGCAGCAGTGAACAATAAAGAAAGACCCCGAATCAAACAAAATGGGAAGCAAGGACTGACACAGGTTGTCCTCTGACCTCCACAGTGTGCCTCATAGCACAGGTGCCTGCATTCTCATGTGCATGCACGCGCGCACAGACACACACACACACACCATATACACAGAGAAGGAAAAGAACTGCAGGAGTGAACCTGGAATTTGTCAGGGAGAAGGCTGAGGAACCAGACCTTGCCTTTTGTCTGGGCCACTGGGCACCCTTAGAACACATGAGATGGGGTGCTAGATTCACCTGCCACGGCCAACTGCAACTGTGGAAGGATGAGGTCATGAGCACACAACAAACAGCACTGCTTCTGTCCCCACACCACAGTCTTGGGTGGGGAGAACTGCCCAGCACCAGCAGTGTTACAGAACACTTGGTCCCAGACCAAGGATGCATGTTGCTGTGTGTTGGTTTTGAATGAAAATGGCTTCCATAGGTCCATAGGGAGGGGCACTATTAGGAAGAATGGCCTTGTTGGAGTAGGTGTGACCATATTGGAAGACATGTGTCACTGGAGAGTGGGCTTTGAGGTTTCAGAAGCTCAAGCCAGGCCAGTGGCTCATTCTCTC